CTAAAAAAAAAATTTAAAACTGGCCAGCTCACGAAAATCAAAATATTTTTCTGAAATATGTTGGCGGAAGTCTTAATATATAATACATTTTTTAATGCCGATGGATAATCCGTAACAAATTTTTTTTTTTGTTTTTTGTATGAAGAATGATGTACCCTAATAGATAAGTAATACAAGTAGGTAAAAGGCATTTTCAAATGCGGCAAAACAAATACACACTAGTTTGCGAATATGACCGCGTACAACATGCTCGTGCTTTGGCACTTCGCCTAATCCAATTCCTTATTCCACTACATACTACATACTTGTATCCATTTCTGTATTGATACGTTTATAATATTTAGAATTTATTAAATGGAAATATCTAACAAATGACTCACATCACTATTTGGCATTAACATTTTAGATTTTATTGCCGTTGGCTATGTAAATTGATTTGGCATGGCCTGGCGACTATGTCATGTATGTACGTAATTTACATGCAAAATACATTAAATACTAATGTCGACATCGTCATGCACATGCAACATTAATTCGAATCTATTGCTAAAGCTAAGTATATATGTATGAAATAATGCATGTACGAATATACTGCAAAAAATCAAAATTAACAACAATGCAAAGTGAAAGGGTGGTGTTAGTGGTAATAGAGCCAAATTTATCAAAGTCAAAATTTATCAAATACAAATGATAATTGAATAGAATTAAACACAGCTAATTGATTTTATGTGAATTTCTACTAGGCATTAAAATTTCGACAATTGTTTGAGCAATCGACAACAATTAATCAATAACACTGATAACCGACAGAAAATGTTTAGGGTTCGGGCTTTATAGCTAAAAGGAGAAACAATTAACTGAGTTTTGGTAAGTTTTTTTTTGTATTTTTCAACTTACACCCACTTGAAATTGGAAAAAGTTTTATTTTTGATAAGGCATTTAATTTTAAGAGTTTAATTTTATTAAAAAATTTCACAACATTAAAAAAGTAAGTGATATTTTAATGAATTCAAAATTTTTAATGACTGGCCGTGTGAGTCAAACCCACAATCTTACGGCTCGTTAATATATCTTTACTGCCGTTGGTCAAGGCACAACTTTGACCAAATCAACACGCCGTTAATCCGGCGGTCTATGCTTTAACTTTGAAACCAAATGATGAGCCTTTTTACGCAGTTTTGGGCTACTGATGCTGAAAAGATCCTTGCTTTCGTGCTCCATTTTGTGCGTGGTAATAAAAATTGGTAAAATTTTTTCTAATACCATTTTTATTTTGCTAAAGGCAAAACAGACATTTATTTTAGAAATATTTATTGTCCAAGAAAAATAAAAAAAGTGTAAACCAGTTTTATCAGTGAGTATTTCTTCGTTTGAAATTTTAACTCATAAAACCTTATTCTCTACAATTTTACTTAGTAACGTCTAACCATCACATACATCTTAAAATTCTCGGGCAACATTATCATTGGACTAACGCGAAAAACTTCGTCCAGCTCAATCTTTGAGTAAAACGTTAAAGAGCTCAAAGCTTTGATTGCAGCCTGACTGTCTCTAAAAATTAAGACGTCTCTTCCCATCATTTCGGTTCCAACAGCATCCATGTTAGCTGAAACATCGGCTCAGGATAAGCTGCAGTATTCTGGTATCCTAAAATAGATTTTCAGAAAAGAAGCTCCTCCGAGCTTACGGCCCGTCTCCACAGGCAAAAGTTTTTGCCCACCAACTGTCATTTTTATTGCCTGATAAAAATTTTATCAGCGGCAATATTTGTGCGTGGGCATTTTTTATCTTGATAAAAGCACTTATAAGATGGCAATTTTTGCCGGATTTCATCAATTAAAAAGTTTAAAAAATATGCTATTTCACACCCAAGCAAATAATAACACATATTTTAATAGAAAACAGTTCAATTTTTGCTTTTATATTGAAATGTCGATAATGTTGTCTCCACGAAGCTATCGCGCAAATGAAAATGTAGCTGTCAAAGTACCAAATTGCTGGCAATATTTACAAAGATAAAAGCTCTGATAATTATTGCTTGCCAAGAGCAATATGCGGTCTCCATGGGCTAAATTTTGCCTGATAACATTATCAAGATAAAAACTTTTGCCTGTGGAGACAGCAAGTTACCGTCTAGTGTAGATATAAATTCTATCAGGCGGAGTGTTAGTATATTCTCTCACTTCTTCCTGCTTGGGACCGTTGTAATAAAATTGCTTTCCGGGACCGATATTAAAGCAAAACGTAGCGTACTGTTTAAAATGAAGCAGGTTGCGACTGGGATGCCTCTCATAAGTGAAGAGCATCCTGCCATCCTTTGTCCTGCGAAATCCAGGAACTCCAAAATAGTGTCCACTGCATCGCTTGGTATGGTTCTGAGCGCTCCGCTTATGCAAATCATATTAGACCTGGCACCTTGGTGAGTAGCCTGAGGTGGTCCCCTTTTTTAATGCGGGCCACCTAACAATCACTCCATATAGCAGAATAAATTATTTTATGAAATTAAGGCCCCATTTCTTGCATATGGCCCTTTCACAAGCAAAAGTCATTCCCATAACGCTGAACTGTTTATATTCTCCTTCCAGTTTAGCTTCTTATCTAAAAATAACTCCTAGAGTTTTGGCTTTTGTAGCAAGACTAAATCGGGCACCTTTTAACTTCGGGGAACTTTCCGAAGACATTTTATACCTTCTCGTAATGAAGACAAGCTCCACCGGGTGGACCATCTGGATACATCTCGAAGCCTTCGCTGCTTCAGCTTGCATATAGAGTTTACGGAATATTTCCCCAAAAACTTTTTCATCCCCAATCCATTTCAGGTAGAAGCGTGTTGACAGTCAGTTTCGACAGAAGTGGAGAAAGTACGCCTCCCTAGAGCATACCCCTCGTCACAAGCTTGCACAATTCGCAAGCTCCCAGCCTGGCTCTCAGAATTCTACAGCAGAGTGACTTGCCGATAAACTCCACCAGAGCGTTATCCACCCCTAGAGGTTTCGCGGCGTAAGTTATGGCCTCCGGCCGTGTTCAACAACGGCTTTAATATTCAGGAAAGGTACGGAATTTCTGTCCTTAACACTGAATGACTTCTCAATATAAGCGACCAAGCTATGAAGTGCAGCCCCATGGATTTACCTTTTCAGTATGCATGCTGGTCATGATATCGTTGATGCCAGAAAGGAAGCTGCTACTAAACCGTCCAAGTGTCTTAAGAGCTAAGGGGGAAAATTGTATAGACCTTAGGTCGTCCGGGTTAATATGTGAAAGGAAAGGCTAGAAATAAGCCTTGACCATAATTGAAAGCCTTTTCGCAGACAGCTACAGTGGCTTAGTTAGTTGCGCAGGTATTATACCGTCCGGTCCTGCAGTTTTATATGGTTCAAAGCTTTGCATTGCCCATTTAGCCCTTTCTTCCGAAACGGGTATATTGAAGGTATAGAACGAAGTTAGAGAAAGGGTGTTTTCCACTGCAATTATGTTAATAAATAAAATAAATAATTAACCTTTTTATATGTATAATATCTACTAATCTATGTAGAATCTCAACCCATTCTGTAGCTCAGTGTATCAAATTGGTGTAATCACTTGGACTCGAACTTTCCAGTACTAAACATTTCATATACCGGCAACATATATTTCCAAAAACAGGGAAAAATAAAATAGGTGAATGCTATAGAATCCGCAGCCTGCCCACAATCGCCGCACAAAGTGATTAGAATGTCGCAGATGTTGGTATCAGCGGTAATTCCGCAATTTCTTGTCGAACTTTACCTCGGTTCGTCCATACTTTTACCTACTTGCACACATACGTACATTCATAGATACGTATGTATTTACATTAGGGCGGGTTATCTTTTTTTCTCTGGGCCCAGGACTGAAAATTCACGGACCCCTATACATAAATTGTATTAATTAAAAAAATGTCATAATTTTCTTTAATGTACTATAGAGTCAGAAACAATAAGCACGAAACGCAATATATTTATAATTATAATAAAAGCCTATAAGGATGGAGCAATTATATTGTAAAAAATAATAACAAGTCATGGTTCTCATATCTCAGGCGCCTTAAAAATCCAGGGCCCGGAGGGATTCCTTCCTTTCCCCCCTCCCTCTCTACCGGCCCTGACTATTTGGAGTTTATCAAATTGCGAAAATAAGTTTCGAAGAATATGTGAAAATGTTCACTTTTGCGCCCACTGATGGAAATTATAAGAAAAATATAAATCCAGAAATGGAGTCCTCATACCAAGATTTAAGCACTTCTTTACGATGCCACAGTTAAATGCTAAGTAAAAGAAACCTATTTTCGCAATTTAGCAAACTCCAAATTGATTTAGACCTATGGTTTCTTTGTGAAATTTGTTTAGAATTACACGTAGAATCTCCCTATGGTATACGCGCATAGACGAAAAAATCTCCTATAAAAATTTACACGCCCTAATGTGCATACATAACTTAATAAAAGTACTTAGCCTTCCACATTTATCAGCGGCGTATTTTATATTACACCAACATCTAAAATAACAACTCATTTGTAAGTAATCTCACAGTGAACATGGATACCACTGCAATTGCTTCCGAATAGCTCATTCACTTACATAACTAACTTGCTGGGTGTAGCCACATATCAACAACAATCAAGTTGTACATATTTTGAATTATGATTTAGCAAACCACAAGCAGCATTGTTAGTCAGCATTGACGCCACGAACGGCTTGAACGGCTAATCGCATTCAAGCGAATGTAAGCTGCTGCTAATCATTATAAGCACTCAGAATATTAATTGTTAACATATTTACATATCTACGACTCTAGCATTTGTTGTGATTAGAATAGGTCTTTAGCCGACCGCACTACACAATTAGGATTTGATTAATGCACAACAGAAATGGGGCAACTTTGTAAATTGAGAACACATTTGTGCCATTAAGGCCCCGTATATTTGTATCGCAATAAGGGCATCTATAGATTCAATTCATTAATTCTTTGCTTATTCGCAGATCTCTGAACTTTTTGGCGGCATGGAAGTATGCGGCATTTCAGTGGTAGTCGGCAAAGATGGACGCGAGCATATAATTAGCGCATGCGATTGTACATTCGCCTTGATTGGTGATAGTCAAGAAGAGGATCGCCGTCAGATAGCCGATTTAGTTTCGGCTAGAATGCAGGTGAGTACTATTTGTTAAGTGCAGAAAAACGCACTCTAACTTTTTTATATAATTTTTAACGTAGAATATATAATTTGATATAATTTTTATACGTGGAAAATATTATACATACCTTCATTTTTCACTCCCATTTTGTGCCTCTCTCTCTCTCTCTCTCTAAATCACTTCCCAGAACGTCTGCCGGCCCAGCATGGCTCAAACGGGCCCTCCGATGCATGGCATCCGACAGCCATCACGATCGTCAATCTCCTCGCGCGGTGAGAGTCCCACCGAGGATATGGCACCCACACCGCCGGCACCAGCAGGTCCACGACCTGCTCCGATGGGCGGTCCACCGCCAATACCGGAGCGCACTTCACCAGCAGTCGGTTCGATTGGCCGCCTCAGCAGCCGCAGCAGCATTTCTGAGGTACCTGAGGAGCCAGCTGCACCGGCACCGACCAGCGTACCCAGCAGCGTCGGCGGTGCAGTGCGTCGCGACTCGCAAACTTCACAGGCATCGAGCATATCATCAGCCTCCAGGGCCTCCTCACGTCCACCGCAAACTCAAAATTCAGTCGTCGAGGATGCAGAGGACACCATGAAGAATTTGCGTAAGACCTTTGCGGGGATATTTGGTGACATGTAGGAATTAGCGAATAAGAAACGCGGAAGGACAGCAAGCGAGACGAGCAGTGGCGGCCCACCCAGTGCTGGTGGCAGTGGAATAAGCGGCATAAGTACCGGTTCATTCCTCGGCAAGCAATTCTCGTTTGCTAGTGGCGGCGGCAGATCGGCCAGCGGCAGCACATCGAGTGTTACGTCGGATATCATCTCGGCGCAGCCAACACCACAACCGCCACCGCCGGCAGAGAAACCCTACGATGCGCGCTCCGACACTTCATCGACCTCAACCCTGACGGCGGGTAGCATGAGCGTCAGCGCCAGCTCAGCCGCAAGCTACAGCAGCAAGCCATCTTCCAGCGTTTTGGACACATTCCAAGAGGAGAACAAATACAAGCCAGTCACCAATTTTGAACCACAAGAACGTGTTAATCCATTCGATAAGGGCACTTTGAAAACTTCTGCAACCAATCAGACCATTGGTAGTGCCACTTCGACCACTTCATCTTCATCGATCTCCTCATCATCGATTTCATCGCGCATCAATCGCAATGGCAATGTCGGCATTAAGTCGCCACCACCACCCACTGGACCGCCACCACCACCACCGACAGGCGTAGCCGGTGCAGTCAACTATCGCAGCTCAACTTCGACCACACCACCAAGTGTTGGCAAAGACAAACGCACCTTCAACTATGGCAGCTCAACATCTATTGAGACAATTACACGCATGGATACCAACACCACAACCACCACTACAATCGGACCAAGCAGTGATGCTACTACTGCTGGTGGTGCAATAGGCACCGACGCCATTGATAATGCCATTGGTGGTGGCGCCACTGGTGGCGCTGATGTCTCTTCCGCAGGCGATGGCCTAGATTGGAAATCGAAAATAGGCATACGTTCAGCGAGCGTCTACAGCGCACCAGCAGCTGTGAGCTCCACCATGCCGGCAGCTGGAGATACCTCTGGCTATGCATCAAACTCGAGCCCTGCCTCGAATCCTTACAACACCACAGCCGATTTGCCATCGTACACACGACCATCGTATTCGCGCTCCGAGAGCAATGGTAATTATCTGGCCGTGGGCGTATTACTCGTTAGTTTAACGCTGCGAAAAACTTAAGCGATATGGAATAGACGATGCAGTGCCAATATCTTTCATAACTGCTCATTGAAAACATATCACTCACAAACACCTACAAACATACATACATACATACATATCTAACTACTACCATGTCATATCAACGCACAAAAAAAAAAAAACATTTAGTGGATTTTCATCAATTAAAAAGGCATCACTACTAAACAAGCAAACCCATATCATATTTATCATACTTATTAATTAACTATTTAGAAGAGAGCATATTTTTTCACGCGAAAAAAACATGAATAGTACTGACCAGCAGGAATTGAAAAGACCGCATTCGAACAATAATATTTCAATAATAGAACAAAGTGGAATTCACAGATTAGGGAAAGACTTGCTTGAAGACGCAATAAAAAACTTATGGACTGAAAACTAAGGTTATCGTAAGCCAAAGTTTACTACTTATGCGCCTAAAACTAGCCTACATTCACTGGTATTTTTACACAGCATACATGCCATAATGGGGGAAAAGCAGCCAGAAGTGCAAACACATACATTTTCTCTGGCCAAATAACGTATTTTCATATCCATATTACGGAAATATTGATATAAACCAACACTTAACAAAACTATTCTAACACAAAAAATACTACATACAATATGAAACTATAAGAAGTAGCCAAAAATTTCATATATTACTATATTCATACTTTTCTACCAACAAGCACACCAACTACTATTTACACTAACTAATAACCACGCTCATTTATATCCATATATCTCATAAAACCATGCTCTCCTTATACATACATACATACATACATACTTAAAAGAAACCAACCCAAAAATAATTCTAAATTCATGTGCCATCCTCGAGTCCTTTCCTCATATTCATGCTCACACATACAAAAACAGTTATCGTCCTAGTCTATACGATTCGATAAAATACAAGCAACAAAAAAAAAAAAAATATTTCTACTCTACTCTATTCTAATCAACGTCAAAACGCCTACGCCACCACGCCCCAAATTGCTTTTCCGTCCTACTCTAACGTACATATAAACGCTTCATACTACAATTGCGTACGTTTGTTGTTGTGTGGTTGTTGTTCTCGATCGTCGTCATGCCGCACTGAAGCATGCCGCCGCAAAGCAACAAAGCCAATGTTTCGTAAGTTTTTCTTTTCTGTCTGGACAAATGCAGCTCTGCAACTAGGCAAACTCAACTCACAAAAATGCAAAATGCAATGTATTTACAAATACATACTTACATAAATGTATTATTTTTATTTTTTTTTATTTTTATTAACAGTAATCGAAATTTTTTGCATCCACTTTAATCGATAAATGTGTCTAATTTTAACTATACTACATACTTATACATAATTAATTAATATCTACAATAAACTATGTATTTGTATGCTATTTAAGCAAAGTGAATTCGTCCAAGCAGCTCGAAATTAGCAGATGGCCATCACTAATCGCAACACTTGAAGTACTACAGCTACAATATCTTTTAGAACAGAAACACCGCAATTAATATTTTCTTTGGCTTTGGGCACTCTACACGTGGCACCTTCACACTCTTAATCCACGATTTATTACACATTTTAGTTACTTTAACAGCAACGCGCTCTTCTGTCTTATGTTGCTTTTGAAAAAAAAAAAAAATATATATATATATATTAAGAATGAGCAAACTTAAAGGCTTCGTACTCTATTCTACATATATGCAATTCAGTCGTACTGATTGTTGGCTTATTTGTCTTTTTGTCTACATATTATTAACACTTACTATTATTCGTTTTCTTATTGTAATTGGCAAATTTGAAGTCTCAAAACAATAATTCAATATGTGTGATATAATTTTTTTTTTTTATGTGAATATGGCGATGCGTTATCAAATAAGTGGTAATTACTAAACAAATGACAATAATGAAGCTTAAATTTTTGAGTCAAAGCTTAAAAGCTGTAAACCTTTGGACAAAATATAGATTGCAATAATTTGTAAGCTACATAGGTCCATTTGTATAGCTAACAAATAATTTGTAAACCAAAAATACAAAAATTTTGGATTACCATAGAAAAAAAAGAATAAACGTAAAAGCTCGTTCCGATCGTCCTCATGAAAAATGTAAAGTGGTGATGGGCATCAGCTTGCCTGCGGACAAAGATTTCTAGTATACCGAATGTGAATGTAGAGATTGGTTTACACCACCCAAGACCACCCACCAAGGTTTTCAGACGTTCTGCGCTTTTCAGGGCTTTCAGTTTTAGCTTTCGTATTACGGCTTTGGCCTCCTAGCTTGTTCCACATGACAAACTGTGCAATACAGAACACATGAAGGAGAAATCGAAATGCGCCAAATAATGGAATGTGTGAATGGTGTTTGAATACAGTCATAACGCAACAACGTACGCAAGGTGCCAAATTTTACATCAAACGCGACATTTCCTAAACCAAAAACCATATAAATCAATGTTGCAAAACTTTGTACGAAATTCCCAAAAATTAATCAAACTTCAAAAAATTGTTATCACAATTTTAAACTTTTTATTTTTAGAAAAGGATCCGGTATGCAGTTTTGTAGGCCGAAAAATTTCAGTAAAATAAAATGCAAGTTTCCAGTAGCTTAAAATTACCGTTGATTTTTTAGAATGTTTTTTTTTTGTCAAAGGCGTTGCACATTTTCTTACACATAAAAATAGATTTTGTTCTAAAAATTCTGATAAAAAAGCTTGCAATTTTGATAATAATTTTTTGAAGTTTGATTAATATTTGCAGGGACCGTAACTCTTATGACTTTTATCAAAAAAATCAAAAAATAAGAGTCATTTTTGATTTTTATATATTTAGATCAAAAATAAGAAATATTTTTGATTTTTATATATTTAGATCAAAAATAAAAGTTATTTTTGATTTTTATATATTTAGATCAAAAATAAAAGTTATTTTTGATTTTTATTTTTTTACATGAAAAATGAAAGTTATTTTTGATTTTTATATTTTTACATCAAAAAATAATTGTTATTTTTGATTTTTATATTTTTATATCAATAATAAAAATCAATTCAAAATTCGTGACATAATATGTTTCTTAATCGCTGTTACGCATTAAAGTAAAACTAAGGTGTACGGTTATAATAACAACAATAAAAATGAAAGAACAAATAATAGCGTTATTTCAAGCTCAGGGCCAATGCACAGCATAAGTTAGAAACTTTGTTACAAATATTTCGTTATTATAAGCGTACACCTTAGTTTTACTTTAATGCGTAACAGCGATTAAGAAACATATTATGTCACGAATTTTGAATTGATTTTTATTATTGATATAAAAATATAAAAATCCATAATAACTCTTATTTTTTGATATAAAAATATAAAAATCAAAAATAACTTTTATTTTTCATGTAAAAAAAAATAATAATCAAAAATAACTTTTATTTTTGATCTAAATATATAAAAATCAAAAATAACTCTTATTTTTGATCTAAATATATAAAAATCAAAAATAACTCTTATTTTTGATCTAAATATATAAACATCATACAATATTTTGCATATAGTTCACCTAAAAATCATGATGGTGTAATCAAAACTTTTCTACGATGTCCATTTATGTATGATTTTTTTATTCAAAAATTTAAAAATAACTCTTATTTCCGGTCCCTGAATATTTGTGAATTTTATATTTTATTATTTATTATTTTATTTATTTTTGCAAGATGAATTTATATGATTGTAAATAGAATGAGTTATATTTTAAACAAAAATTAACGAAAAACATTTATAATGGAAAATATTTCTAACAGTTTACGGCTCTCTTCATGAAAATTTACAGCAAAGGCAAAGTACTTTTTCAAATAAACGAAATAATGAAAAATATTTCTGCAGATTTTTCTTTACAGCTCTATACTAAGCTTAAGCTTGCTCTCATTCCTTTGGAATTTCCATAGACTCATGTGCACCAAACTGATATTTTAAGAATGTAATTATAGATAGCGACATACTTAAAAAAAAAAAAATAAGTATTGATGAAATACCTGTAGTTTGTTTTTACAAAATGAATCTGAAATCGAAGTATTACTCTCAGAATAACATTCATTTAATCAAATCATTAAACGACTTCATTCACATCATTAATCGAATTATTTAATTCCATTGATACGAGTATAAATAAATAACTTCCGATCACACATGAAATCAATCACTACATTTTGATAACTCATCATCATCATCACAAGCATATCACTCAATGTCTGTTGCATTGAATTACGAATTGGCGCCAACGCAATTAAAATTTAAAAATTTTCATAAATAGTATATTCGTATTAGACGCACCGCATAAGCTAAATAAAATATTTTATATATATACATACATACATACATATGTATGTATTTCTTATAAGAAAATTTTTATGAGAAATTAAAATATTATTTCAATGCTTACAGCTTCCAATAAGCAATCTGATTTGGACATAATCTTCGGCGAATCTAAGCCCAGCTATGGCAATGGCAAATATACTCGCGCCGGCGGTTCAATCTCCGATGCCGATCTCATATTTGGCGGACCACCGACCAACTATAAGACCGATCGCTTTGGCAGTTCGAAGAGCATGAGCGTCACCTCGGAGCGGAGCAACGATGGCAATGGCAGCAATAATTCGTATCGCGCCTACGAGGGTATACAAAATGCCGCATTCAGCGATTTTAGTGACTCACCGAAAACGGGCAGCATCAGTAGCATTAACTCGTATGGTAATACGAATCGCTGGAGCAAGCCAACTGTCGAAGAGGATGATGAATTGGATTTGAAGTAGGCAAGGATAACGAATGTTGACAAACCGATGAAAGTTAGTTAGATTTTTGTGTTTGCTTAAATGCGTGTGTGCACATGTACATATGTATGTGAGTATGTATAACTGTGCAATGAGGAAGATTTTATTGAGACAAAACTATTTACTTGCCGATGGCAGTATTAAATTTTTTTTAAATATTTCCAAACATACATACATTTGCAAGCAAATGCATATGTAAATGCGCATGTAAGTAAAGTACATTCATACCTCTGCACACATGCTTTTAAACACAGATTCTCATTGAAGAAATATGCAAAAATTTAAGTACATAATTAGAAAAAAAAAATATTGAAACTAAATCACTACATACACAAGCGCATTCTTCGCCTCTGAAGTTTCCTGGTTTCATAGTGGAAAACAATTATAAACACATTCCTAGCAATCTAAACTATACAGCTTATTTCTATTGTCAACTTTTTATTTACATAATTTATTTTTATTTTTATTTTATTTTATTTTTTTGGTATAATCGCACAGTTATTTGATATTGACTTTTAATTCATTCTACTTTTGATTTCTCTAAATGTACTACATATATTTCATATGCCAAAAATGTGATTTCTTAATACCTGATTTCAATAATGTCAATCAATAGCAGTCTTATGATTTTTAAATATTAATTAAGTATCCAAAGTACAAAGTTCAATAAATGCATTACATTTTGATTATGTGAGAGCAAATAAAATATTTTGAATAGAAAATAGATAGATTTTTAATTCATTATTTTTTATCATTCAAAGATCTTTCTTTTGTAAGTTTTTTAATACTTGGTCGTTGTTTTTTCCTTTTTATTAAGTGCTTGGTATTTATAATTGTTTTATGTTCAACTGCGTCTGTTTATAATTATAATTTTAGTTTGTTTATTTGAATAACACACACAAAACTAATCAACTTGTATCGAATTTCCAGTAGGCATTGGAATGGTAAAGAGCTTGCCTCAGTTAAAGAATTTCCCACTGAAACTGACAGGTATTTTTAATGCCGAAATTTGGCAATAAAATGTTTGTCATTTATTGCTCACGGGAAATCCAACATAAGGTACCACGTTAACATTCCAAGTCCGTAAAATACAGTGGCGGACATATTTGGAAGCATTATTGCCTTTATAGACAAACTTTAAGCGAGTATTACAAACAATTTCCTAACTAATGACAACAAAAACCGTCTAAAAAGGAGATGATTTAACCAAATTACTTTGCTATTAAAGATCTATAAAATTGCATTAGATTTTTGAGTGACCAGACACAAAACGTAGACCTACAAAGCTATGTTTAAGGGTCACCCTAATTTACATATTTTTAGGCGTATTTCTTAGCATAAACATTCAGATTTTCATCCGCTACTTTACTATTCGCCATAAAAGTTTCTATGCCCGCCACTGTCAAAACTTTTTAAGCGGCTAAGTTGTTGCTTCTTTTACCCATAAAAGTGTGCGAAAGCTCCATTAAAAAATCGAAATTCATATAAATGTTAAGGTATAAGTAAAAAATCTCAATTAGATATTTAAAAGTAGTTACTCAAATTACACGTACAACTACCACCTATCTACTCAACAAGCATATACATACATATATACATAAATATACTTAGAAAAGAAAGAAAAAA